GCCTGTTGTTTTGGTAATCACTTAATTGTGTAATCTAGTAAACAAATGAATGCATTTTTTAATTTCTCAAGGGAATTTTATGTACTCAGTTAATACTTTCAGGTACTGGTATCGATGCCTCCTACAGGTAGTCATAATGTGCTTGATGATTATTTTCTGCTGTAATCTTGACCTCTCAACTTTTCCAGCTCCTTTGGCTGGTTTGGTTGACTACATGGTGACAGAAAACTAGAACTATGACTCTGTGAGAAAAATGCCTTGACCTTTCCTTATGAGACCTGGGGAAAACACACGGAATTTTTATTATAAAGTGACCTGTGTTGTAACTTCAGCCAAATGTGTTATTTGGCTTGCTAGTTACTCTGCTTTACTGAAGAGAAAGATACCTGGACTGAATATTGGGAGTCTGGGATATTTTTCCTCTTTAGTAGCTTTGTGACAGAAGCAAAGTCACTTGACCTCTCTGGTCCTCAGTTTCTTTATCTACTAAGTGGGAAGAATATCCGTTCTGTCTTCCTGCCTACTTCATTGAATTATGAGAATGAAGCAAGATAAAATATATGGAAATGTTTTGTGACCTATTATACCATACAAATTTGATCTTATTATTATAATAGGGTCATTGGCACACCTGTAAAACCTTAATCTCATTAGACTTAGTGAGGTCATTTTATCATTACTTTAATCAAAAAAGCAGAATTATAGACATAACTAGAGATCTGTACCCAGAATGACCCAAATTAAATAATTTTGGGGAAGCTCTTAATTAAACTTTTATAAGGTTTCACTATGATTTTTTTCTTGAGTTGGAGTCTCATTCCATCGCCCAGTGGCACATTCACAGCCACCCCAGTGTCAACCTGCTGTGCTCTAATCCTTCGGCCTCAGCCCTCCAAGTAGCTGGAACTACAGGTGCGCGCTACCACGCCCAGCTAATTTTTTGATTTGTAGTAGAGATGAGGTCTCGCCAAGTTGCCTGGGCTGGTCTCAAACCCACGGGCTCAGATAATCCACTCGTCTTGGCCTCCCAAAGTGCTGGGATTACAGGCTGAGCCACCGAGCCTGGCCTCACTATGATTTTTAAAGATACATTTTAGGTTTGCCTATACGAATGACTTTCTTCTTCCATTTTTAAAAAATGAGTGTCTTTGCTTGTGTGAGCTTGAACAAGATAGTTCCAAATTTGTAGTGCTTTTCTAAAACTGTGGCAGCTTTACTCTCTCTGAAACAGATCATCTATTTAGTTTTTTTTTTTTTTTTTTATTCTTGCATGCTTACCATTATTCCTTTCCAGGTATGCAGCTCTCGGTTCTACAAATTGCTTTAGAATGAAATAAATTGAATGCTGGTTCATTATCGTCATTCAAATAGCTTCTGAATTTCTGAATTGCTCTTCTTTTTTCAGTATAATAGCCACTAATAGAATTTACTCATGTTTGGTTTTCTTCTATTTTAAAGCGATGGCATTTAATCCTGCCTTCTGTTTAAGGCTGAGTGCTCCTGGGTGCATTTTGATAAATGCTAATTTGTTGTTATTATGGTCTGTGCCAGTGTTTTGGATACTTAATCATTATCATCTTGTCTTTTAGTCTTTTGAGTCTTTGTCTCCTCTCTCCTAATGAGTCTAAGTTGCTTGAGGGCAGAGGTGATGGCTCCTCCTCTGATTCCTCCACAGCACCTCCTAGGTGCAAGGCCTGCGTAGTCTACCCTTCATAACTGGCCTGAAGCATAGAAAAGGCTTTTATATAAAAGAATCATTTCTTTGTAGATAGGTCCTCTCCTGGGTCCTATTTTGGGGGACTTTCTGGCTTTTATCATCTGGGTGACAACTCATTCCTATATTTGAAAGTCTTAGTGTTCTTGTCTGATGTGGTCCTGTCCCCTGTGTTCTCTCTATTGACTAGGTCATGGCTTTGTCTTTCAGGAATGGTTTGCATTGTTCCTCATCAGAGTCATCTTTTTCTAAGCCAGAGGTGTTTAAGTTGTATAGAGTTCAGAGACTCTGTGAACCTGCTAATATGATATGCAAAATTTTATGTATATTTATGCACGTTTTTGGCAGAAGGCCTATAAATTCGCAAAGAATTCATCAGTTTTGCAAAGACATCCAAGGCTCCAAAAATTGTCCAGGCAAGTTTGCAGAAGAGGGTACAGAGATACTGACTTTGGGAACCCTAAAGGCACTTTGAGTAGCTGAATTGGCTGACATAGATTTCTTTTCTCCAAATGTCTAATGTGAATATTGCTCTAGACATATATTTTCTTGGTTGTACTGAAATGTATTTTAGTCGTTGATGTTTTTGTGTTGCTGATTATTTTGGGAAGGGTGGAAACGTATAATGTGGTTATGTTTTCTAAGAATAATTCAGAAAATTGTTATTTCTGAACCTTTTTGCAATGGACACCCAAGAGGTCTCATTGTTTTCCTCTAGTTGTGGAAACCAAGTCAAAACTAGACAGACAGAATGGTCAGGACAACTGTTAAACTGTTTCTTTTACCCTGTTTTGAAAGGAATAAGTCAAGAAAGCGGGAAGAATCTATGGGAGGTAGATGTGATGGCCGAAGAAGTGGATGTCATGTGTGTTTCTAGTGGGAAGAAAGGTGTGGACCGAAGGGGTGCATTTTCTGAACTGTGTAAGACAATATTCATTTTCTGTTGCTGCCGTAACAAGTCACTGCAAACTTAGTAGCTTAAGATAACATAATTTTACTATTTTACACAGTTCTTTAGTTTCAAAGCCCAACATGGGTCTTACTGTGCTAAAGTCAAGGCATCAGTGGGCTTCTGTTACTTCTTGGAGGCTCTGGGAGAATCTGGGTCCTTGCCTTTTCTAACTTCTAGAAGCACCTACATTCCTTGGTTCATGGCCTCCCTCACACATCTTCAAGGCCAGCAGTGGCTGCCTGAGCCCTCCTCATGGCTACTACCTCTCTGGTTCTCTTTTTTATCATCACATCTCTCTGACTGCAAGCCAGGTAAGGTTTTCTGATTTCAGGGATCCATATGATGAAATAGTCCAGGATAATCTCATTTTGAATATCTTAATTTAATCAAGCCAGCAAAGTTCCTTTGTCATGTAAATTAACATATTCACAGGTTTTGGGGATTCGAATGTAGGCATTTGTGATGGACCATTATTATGCCAACCACAGGAACTTTTTCTGGGTACAGTTAATGGTTGAACTAAAACAGATGGGTTTGAATTTATAAGCCTGAATACTAGTCACAACTCTAATAATCAGTTGTGTGATGTTTTTCTGTAAACTGCAGATTCATCACCTGAAATTCTTAATTTTGTCTTTTAATTATCAAACTTAATTAGTATAGTTATTAATTTATGCTCTCCAATACTGCCTACATTTTAGGAAACCCAGTAGCTTTTGAGATAATTGGAGGCTGATAGCTCTCAGCTGGGTCCAGCATCAGGCATTGCCTCATCTGAACTGAGTCACTTTGCCCAAGGTCACGCCCCTTTCCTAGAGAGGGCCTGCATTCAATGACTGATCCATGAGAGTGGGGGTTGGGCAGCGTAAAGGCCTGGCCATCTGGCTTGGAAGGGCCATCCAGCTCCAGAGCTGCTCATTGGGTTGGCCAAGGCCTCCTTGCAGATCTGATGCTGTTCAGCCTCTCCCTCTGTCCTGTCCTACTTCCTTAACCTTAACATGGAGTGGTTTCCAAGAGCACGCTCCAGTAAGTCTCCTCTGCCTACTTGTTAGAGCTTTAAAGCTTGTTTCCCAGGAAACCTGATTATTTGAATCCTCTGCAGGCCTTTGTCTGTTGGTTGTTTTTTCTTTCCATTTTTGATCATGTAATTTTGTCTTGTACAGCTGGCTGTTTTTGAATGAGTATTAGACATCGTATGAACAAGGTCTTAGCAACTTTAGGTGCTATCTTTCTCCTGAGGATTTGCTGCTTCTGGCAGGAGGCTGGCTAGCCTGGAAGCACTGGCCTGATCAGATCACCTTAAATGCAATCAAGGGGTAGATGATTTGGAGCCTGTGAGGCTAACTTAATTCCAGTTCGCTTTTACACCTAGGCTGTGAGCCTGTGGGGTTAGTGCCTTAAAACCCCTTCTCCTTGATGTCCATGTACTGGGGTGTTTTGTGTCCCAAGCTCCCTTAGTCTGTCAAAGTGCACCTCAGCATCAGCCTTATAACCACACTTTCCAAGTTTACAGAGGCCTCTAGGTGAGAAGTGGCCACATGTCTGAGCTTTCTCCCCAGCTTCTCTCCTGACCTGGATCTTGGCATGTCTTCACTGCCTTGGCA